AGAAAGAAAGAAAGAAAGAAAGAAAGAAAGAAAGAAAGAAAGAAAGAAAGAAAGAAAGAAAGAAAGAAAGAAAGAAAGAAAGAAAGAAAGAAAAAAGAAACTCGACAGGAGATATTCCAAGTCCCAGACAAGCCACTATAATGTTAATGAAATTCTCTCACCGCGATACTTGGGTAGATACTTCATTAAGTGATGAAAGAACTCTTTCGGTTTAATAAGCATCCAAGAGAGGGCTTTTTATAGTTTTATATTATATATCAAAAGTCTCTCTCTCCTCTCGACGCTGAAGAGCATCTCCCTCGGTCTTTTACCGTGTAGAATTGCCCATAACAAAAACCCTTGTTATCAATATCATATATATACCAATAATAAAAAAGAACATTTCAAAGGGGGGTGATATGCCGTAGCAAATGAAATCCTATAAAGGGGTCCTCGACCCAAAATAATAATTCTAATTTCAATACAAAGACTTCAAGCAATGGTTAATTGAATTGGCTCATTAATCGCAGACGAAAAGCGTCTCAGTTCTGCGTTGAGACTTATCCGCGACCATGGGACATTATTAAGTACGAGAAGACCAAAGGAAAGGTCCCAGAAATCCATTCCTTCTTTAAGAAGTTTGTCTTATATAAGTTTGGTAATTTTAGTGACATTGAGCTTGTTATTTCACGTACTCCTGAAGCATGAAGACTTTGCTAAACAGCCTAACAAAAGCGGACAAAAAAACAAAAAATCAAAATGGGGAGATTTCCGTTTGGGAATGTGGAAAACCACAAGAGAATTCGAAACGAAAATTAAGCCGTACGCGGTAAGTTTCGCGTATTACACCGTTGTAGATATATTTAATTTTAAGTTTGCAGTGGGAAAACTTCTATCATATTCCCTCTGTATGTTGATATCTAATTTCTATAATCACAAAGGCTTGCGCCGTTTTTATGTCTGGGCGATATTTGACTATTTGTCATTTTAGTGCCGGTCTCATTCAATTTACAATTTCTCGATATCTTGTAGTAAGTATGCTTTGTTTTAAAATACGAAAAACTCCATTGTCTAGCTATTGTCTTCTATGCTGATATTATTATTTACAATTACAAGGCTTTTGCTGTTTGTACGATTTACGAGGATTTGTCGCCAACCGGTCGTCCATATTTCAAAAAGTTCTAATTTACATGGACAAGCTTATTGCTCCCATCCTGTTTTATGCTACCCTTACTAAATTAAGGTTTTATTTGATGTTTAATTATATTAACGCAGACTGAGTAAAGAAAGAGGGAACGAAGACCCCGCTCGCCCCCTCTCGGTTTCTTTAGTTTTTTTTGTTTTTGTTTTTTTGTTTTTTGTTTTTGTTTCTTTAGTATGTTTCCATGGACTCCAGAAGCGTTTGGCGCCAAAACGAGCGCACGCGCGTTTTAGCGGGAAGTGAGTTTCGCGCCAAAACGCGCGTGGTTACTAAACCAACGCTATGGACATCTCGCTACGTCACTGCGTCGTTTGTCTGTCTGTCCTTCTGACGATTTTTATGATTTGTCGACAGGTGGTCTTACGACAACCAAGGGGAGCTCGATGCGTTGGAAGACATCTTTAAGGCACCAGATTGGAATGAACCAGCTTTGAAGCCTGCTCTGTCATGTATACTGGCTCCTGCACTTTGTGCAGTTTACGGTAAGAGTAATACAATTATACAAAATAAAAACAAATAAACAATAATTGAGATACGATGTGTTTCGATTGGTTAAAAATTTACGACAATGGTGTTTATACCTTAGGGAAAGCTCAGCTCTCATTCAATGTGTGAGTTAGCCTGCCCTGATAACTGAGATCAGCCCAGAGGTTGTTACAGGACATTCAATCTGTGAGTTAGCCATGCCCTGACTTAGATCAGCCCAGAGGTTTTTTCAGGGTTCTATCTGTGAGTTAGCCGTGCCCTGACTTAGATCAGCCCAGAGGTTGTTTCAGGGTTTGATCTGTGAGTTAGTCATGCCCTGACTTAGATCAGCCCAGAGGTTGTTTCAGGGTTGTATCTGCGAGTTAGCCTGCCCTGATTAATGATATCAGCCCAGAGGTTGTTTCAGGGTCTGATCTGTGAGTTAGCCGTGCCCTGACTTAGATCAGCCTTAAGGTTGTTTAATGATTTAAAATATCAGTTCTACGCGGAACTAAAACAACTTGACTAGAATAAATCGTCACGCTTCGAATTCAAACAGTTCTTTCGTGGTAATATATTAGAATGAGAACAAACCCGAAAATACTGGATTATTAATTAAATACGTGCCTTACGACAAAGTCTGTCGTAACACCCACCTGCTTTTTATCCATATAAACACGCGTCACGATTTCATCAAAACAAGTCATTCCTGTAGCGCTCGCCTCTATTCCAGTATTTCCTTTACAGTTCTCTAGCTATAAATGGACCCGAAAGGAAATACCAGTCAAAGCGCAATTAGTACAAAGCCTCCTGGTGGCTCCTAATTGGCAATTCTAGCAGTTGTAGGCCAGACAGCATTGCGATGCAAGCCAAAGGCATAACACGAAGTACCTCACGTAGATTCACGTAACGCAAAATCACGATATGCGTGGTATTCTAGATTTTGAAAAACCAAACTTAACGGCAATAACATCTTCCTGTTAACGATTCGTTACTTGGTATAAAAAGCGTAGGAATAAAGAATCAAATTTGTTGAATGTTTAAACTGTCCGCGTTTACAGCAGATAAACTGGCTAATGCTCGTAACACGAAAACGCGACCATAGCTTATACCAAGCAGATGTAAACATTCTCTTTGATTCTTCGATGTTTGTCGAGAAATGAGCGAACCAAGATCAAGTAAGACTCAAAATTCAACTTAGAGCTGTTATCAAGTTTCCTTGCCTAAACATGTATAAATCTTGGTTTTCGGCTTACGCCTAAAATAGGCTAAATTGCCCTATTTCACTATGACGTCACATCAAAACAATCTATAGTGTTTAAACGCAAAGGATCATGGTCGTCGGAGGGGTTCAAATCAACGCAAATTCACCGAAAATTGTTCTAAAACCCGTATCAATCCACGAAGAGAAGTAGAATAGCCAGCAAACGCTCAGGATATTTTTTAGTACACATTAACACATATTATATCTGAAAACCAGGCCATTTTAGATTAAACTGTTTCGCTAGGAGCAAATGTTGTTGAATTTTCTATTGGATGGCGATTCTATCCCCCACATAAACAAGCAGTGACGTCATAGTGAAATAGGGCAATTAAGGGGGCTCCATGTGGTTTTCTGGACGCGGTACCTTTCAAATTCAAATCTCAAATACGCGGGCGCAAACAATTCAGTGGGGGAGGGTGGGGGGGGAGGAGGGCTTTTAGAAGTTTAAAGGAAAGATGAAATTTTCGTATGAGCATGCTTTTACTGAAATCCTAACTAATGTTTAAACATGGTAATCGTAAAATATGGTCATAATATTATTTTTTTATTTAACAGGTGCGACCAAAGATGGGATGAATGCGAGCTCGAGGGAAGCAGTGAAGGTATGGATAGAATCGCCCAATAGAGTGTGTGCAACCATGTGACCCTTGAGATATGAATAACAATGAAACGACCGCCATCTTGGTTGATCTAACAAGAGAAGCTAATGAGGAATGCTTTGTTATCATCGACCAAGATAGCGGCTATGACGTAACATGCACATGCTCTATTTTAAATCTTTATATTTGCTTCTTTTACTTTTCTTTTTTTTTCTTTTTCAAGACATACTGAGCTACATGTATCTTTAAAACCAAGTTCATGATACTTATTATTGTTATTTTGATTCAGGAGTTATCGTGCATTCAAGTAAACATCGAATCAGTCGAAGAAGTACCTTCAGGATTTTTCTTCGACGACGACGACGATGACGAAGTATTTTACAAAGATGACCTTTCTTTCTCGTCTTCGTCGTCCTCACCTTCAAACACACGTCGCCCAAGATCTCCCGAGCTACTTTATCCACCCATACCAACACTAACTGCTGTCAAGGAGCGTCTACCGGTTTTTTTCAACTACAAGTATAGCTCTATATTTGTTTCTGGTTATGAAGCTGAGCGACAAAGAACAGAAAAAAGAACGTTTGGAAAAGATACGGCTTTGTTGTTGGCTGAAAGAAGGTCTTCATACATCAAGCGAAGAAGAGATATGGAGAGAGAAGAGTGTCTAATTATTGAAGTAAGTTATTCTAAGCTTCCATTCAGGGACTGTTAATCTTTTTTTTTTTTTTTACTGGGAAAAGGGGGCTGGTGGGATTTTGTTCGCGGGGGGGAGGGGCTGGGGCATTAAAGGGATCACATACCCAAGAGGGGGAGAGCAAAAAATTGGAGTTACACAGCACTTTTACAATAAACAGAACAGGAAACGATGGAGGGACCATTTTTTCATGCACCAACAGAAAAGTGAGGTCAGATATTTTTTAATAGTTACCAAGCGAAGCCGCGAGTCACACCAAAAATAAATGGTCCCTTATGTCTTGTCACTCTCAGCGATCTTGGAACCAAAGCCACCTTCTCTTTAGATTTACTTTGTTCTCTCTTCCAACAGAACGAAATCGACAATGCAATTGAATCAAAGTTCTATCAACTTAAAATGGCAGACGAACTAGAGAAAACTGGATCAAAACGAACAGTACGTCGAGCAAAGTTATGGCGTCGCTGTGCAGCCATGGCCGAAGTGCTCGCAAAGGAACAAGCCGAGGCATTGCTATGGAAACGAAGGTACGAAGAGGCTGCTGGGATTGCATTTGGGAATAAATATTTTCACTGATGTTGCTCTGGTCAGTAAATCAACGACGATTCTACATAATGATTGTGCTAACAATGCTTTGGTATGCAATGTCTTCGCGCATTCACGTTGCCAATATCAAGGGAGGCAAATACTCATTTCAAAAATTTACTTCCGGCGACTTAATTCGACCAATGACAGAAAGAAGAACGATGAGAATGCGGAATGATGGATAACCAAATAAGGTCAGTCAAGATTGAGAAGCGTGGAGGTATAAGATTTTTTTCTTGAAAATAATTCCTTTGTGAGAAATTGAGAGAAAAGGCAAGAAGATCAAACAACGCGTGTATGACTTCACGAAATAAGATGGATTCCCAAAACTGCCGGAATTCTTTCATCTTTGGTCGTCTAGTAACTCATTTGGCTTGGTCAAGTCACCTAGAACGTCATTCTGCTTGGCTGCTGATGACGTCATATCCTGTCATCTAAAAAAATGAGCTTATTTATGGGTTCAAGATATTTCAATTTTGCCAAGTTTTTTCAACATGAATTAGGACATGATTTACTGTCTTCTTTTATCAATGCTACCAAGATATTTTTATCTGGTAGACTAAACCCTTTGTGACTTTACTTTAAGACAAAGGTACCTGGATGGAGAGCTGCTTCGTAACTCAATTTGCCAATGACGTCACAACTTCGAGTGGATGTAATAACACAACCGCTGACCAGCTTCTATCGGGTTTAGTCAGTTTTTAACAACAACAAAAAAGATTTCCTTTCAGGATAAATTGTGAAATCTATTTTTGCAATAAAAGGAATAAATGTATTATTTGTCGTTTCTTAATTCTTTTGAATTTTCCAGTGTAACACTTACTCAGAGCGAACTATTCCCCACCCTCCCCTCCCCCCAAATCTGCAATCTTATTAAACACCTCTTAGTACATCACTGAATGTTGGTTTACTAAGCAAAGACTTCTTTAGTTGTGAGAAACAGGACTCTCGTTTTAATAGTAGTAGCATAAGAAACAGTGTTGGTTGTTAAAAATCAGGTCCCTTTATTTAACCTCTTATCCCTCAAAAAAAACTCCGAAATGCTACTCATTTCAGCCTATGAACGACATCTTTTCGTTTTCTATTTGTTCTAAAAGTAAAAATGACAAATTTAAGAAAGAGTTTTGCTTTTTTCGTAATAAGCTCTTGTCGCACATGCTGCGCATGCGCACTATGCTAAAACGTCTTTCAATTTTTATCCTTTCAAAAAAAATATTTTTCGAATTTTAATTCAGAAAAACTAAAATCAATCTTAGGAACTTTGTTTACACACGTTTATTTAAGGTTTTAGGCATTTTTTGTCATCCCACATGGAAAAACTTTGCATGTTTATACTACTGCTCTTGGCGAAAGTCAGTGAAGTATCATCAGATAGGGTGATCCTTACCTGCGCCTTTTTTAAAGGCTCAGTGAGGAAAGTGATGATTGGTAAGGTATGATCCTCGTGAATTATATCGCTGGGACCGTAAGGCTGCAACACCTTACGGTACCTTCCTCTGAACCCTACTGATGATCAACAAATTTCAGCTCTCAAATTCTCATTGAAAAAGTAAGTTAAAAATCATTTACGTTTCGTAAAAACATTATCAGTAATTTTAATTTTTTGAGTTAAATACCGTGCTCAGAAATACAGGGTTTTAAACAGAGCATTGAATATCCTACTTTAGACATAACATTGAAGTATTTTTTCACGATAATTTATTCATAAAACGTAGTAGTTTCACGCTCTATTAACCATTCCCTGTCACCTGTTATCTCTTTGTCCTTTTATGCATTTTTGAATCTTTGGGTTTATTTTTGAAAGAAAAATTGATACATGAAGCTAACCTCAATTTTAAAGATTAAAGAAACCATTAACAGAAGAAGTATAATATTAGGTATCTTTTTATTTTCTTGTATAAAAATTTACAATGAAGAAGGAAAAATCATTGCATTATTACCTTTGTGTATCATCTTTACAAAAGTTTTGATTCATATAAATATATAATTTTGTATATATACATATTTACAATGATTATTTTGCATGCTTCTACTACGAAATTCTAAAAAAGGCCCCCATTGCAAATTTTAGATAATCTTTTGAGAAGGCTTTCTGAACTGAAACTCAAAATGTCTCTATATTTCTATTATGTCTATCTGTGTTTTTGTCATGACTTTGTTGTTCAATGAACCTAATGATTACCAAATAAATGTTAATATAAATTGATGATGATATTTGTCCTTTTGCTATGATACAATACAGGTCTTCGTCACCATCGCAGGTAAGGAATTGTCAATGTCACTTTCTAGCTTGGGGGTACCATCAAGTAACCTGAGATTAGGAAGAATCCTGAACACCCTAAGAATTAAAAAAAAAACATAAATCATGTCGTACATATTATTTTTAATGTATTAATAATTCATTATTATAATAGTGTTTTTATTGACATTTTTTATTGATGCCTTGAAACAACCTCATGGCTTTAACTCAAAGATTGAATAGACCTTATTCGTGGTGTGACAATGTTTTCCCAATTCAGCATAACAAACCTCTGGGGGAATGAAGAGTTATTGTTTTGAAACTTGTCGGGATATCATTGTTATTCCTTTCGTATCCTTTGGGATACTCATGAATTTTTCGAAGAGTAAAAACAAATGAAAATGAATCCCCTGGAGGTTCGTCACGCTGAATTAGGAAAACATTGTCACCCCACGAATAAGGTTCTATTGGTATTTAACAAGTCAGGGTTTTCAAGGGGATGAGAACCAAAGACCCCAGAGAAAAACCCTCAAATTAAACTCTACTCATGTAATGCTGAGTCTGGAAATCAAATTCTAGAGCCCAGAAGTGAGTGGTTTGTGCATATAACTATGCTACCCTTGATTCCCAAATTTTGCACTAGTCCAATAGAGCGGATGCAATTAAACTGTGAAATAAAATCTAACTAAATACTAACTAATAGTATTTATTTAGTGACTTAAATAGTTGCTATCACTCAACCAGAACATTCATCATACAAAGACAAATACACAATAGACCATTTGTGTCTTTTGTTTAATAAATGTTCTGATTGAGTAATGGCAACTATAGTCTAATCATACTAAAAGAATATATCTTGGACACTTACTGTTGTCTGTAGTTTGGTTTCAACTCTACCGGGTTTCCTTTCAGTGTTAATGATTTTATTAATGTATCATTGAGTATTTCTAGTCCTTGTAAAGATTCAATGTTATTTTGTTGAAGTGACAAGTGTTCCAGCATGGGTGTTCTGGGAAGTTTCTGGAAATAGAAAAAAATTATTTTATTGTTGCATTCTGATTGAACTATATATAATTCTCATGGCAACAATAGGATGCCATTTTAATGTTTAAATGATGTATTTACCTTAAGATCACTTATGAAATTTCTCTGCAAGAATAACTGTTTACATCTGCGAGGGAAATATACAATAATTAACAAATAGTGTGACATAGAATAATGGCATGGTGCAATTAGCTAATGTTATCATCACCATCATTCATCATATCCATCATCATCACCATCATCATATTCATCATCATATCCATCATCATCATCACCATCATATCCATCATCATATTCTTCATCATCATCATATCCCTCATCATCATATCCATCATTATATCCATCATTATCATTACATCATCATCATCACAATCACAATCACCCTCGTCATCCTCATATCCATCATCCTCATTACAAGCATTAATAACTGCCATCAGCACGGATGTCATCACCATCATTTCCACTCTAGCTTTCAAAAGTACCAATAGCATTGTCACAATACACGACCAATCCAAAACCATCAAACATTTCATTCAAAAATGTTCACTGATTTTCCAAAATATAACCTACCTGGGAAGAAATACAGTACTTAAATCTGTTAACGAGTCTTCTATTAATTGAATTTGTTCACATCGTATAAGTCGTCTGAGAACACGAAGAAATTCTTTCTTCTGAAATGGATGTCCCAAATCTTGAAATGATAAATTCACAGACTGAAAACAACCAAAAAGAATAAAAACATCAAATGAGGAACACACTCCATGCCAAGCAGGTAAAGACTGGATAATATTTTCATGAGATACCAACACAGTATCTTGAATACTCAAAATGCAGCAAAAAAACCTCAGGGAAAGCTTTGAACTGGATCAGAGCACGGTATCATTATTATTGCTATTGGTAAAATAGGTCATAGCTTTCATGTGCAATAATTATAAAAGACATCTTACTAATATTTTCATAAACGTGCAAACTCTGCAGCTGCGAGCTACACACAGCTGCAAGCTGAAATTATTTTTTTTGCTACCACCAGTCTATTAAATAGTTTTGAATGACGGCAGAGTAAAACCAAATTTCAACATGCAATTCACAGCTAACAGGTTTGCTCTTTCAAAAATGTTGCAGGAAATCATTACCTCGGCATTTTCCCAATTTTCCATTTTATTTCTGTAATTATGTGTTCGTTTGGGTCTATTCCGCACCGGTACATGCAGTAGTCGTCTGTCATCCTCATCATCTGAGTCTCCCATTTCCTCTTCTAGCTGAATCTTCCGCATTGTCTCTGCCTTATAACCTTTAGGAGCTAGCACAATTTGGATAACAAGAATAATTTAATATTCATTTGTTTTATTAATATAGAATGTAGTGGTAGTGCGTGTGGAGGGAACCTCACGGAAGAGCCCCGTCAGTTGTAATATACGTTTTTTATTTCTTTTTTTAGATGAATACCCTGACAAGTTTGTAGCATTAGGGAAATGATTGTGGCAGATCTTAGTAACACAGGAATCTCTCAATGAAAGCAGGTCATTGCTGTTGATGATGAAGGTGATGATAATGATACATGGTGACAGTGATGATGGTGATGATAATAGTGGTGATGATGATGATGAAGTGTATGATCATGCATTTTTTAATTTATCAAAGTTAATTTCTGATGCCAGCTATCCAAACTAAACCCTAGATTTGCTGATTTTATTGTGCGAAAATAATTCAACTAGCTGTAAGCTGCTTTAGATAGCTTACCTTTCCTGACTCGAGGAGAACGCAACATGTTCCCTTTAACATCGATCTCATCCAGCTCGTGCCATTTGCAATAACGATATTTAGACGAAGAAAGCTAGAAGAGAGAACATGGTAGGAAACTTGTAACACACAATATATAAATCTTCAAGTTGGCAAAATCTCAAGGTAAGGATAAAACAGCCAAAAAAAAATCATTATCTTAGGGTATTTAACCAGTCATCTTTCAAAAAAGCCATTTTTCAAATTCTAATTTTTCTTATTGAGTAATTCTCTACATAATTGAAGTATTTCAATACATTGGCTTTATTATTTATTCACAATGTGTAAGATTCGTCCGTATTGTTTTTAAACTAATTCCCCTTGGGATTAATCCAGTTTTACCTAACATGAAGATCATAATTTACTATAAAAGTTATTTACTAAAATTCCCTTGATCGCTAAATGAAATGACGTTAAGAGCGTAGCAAATGGTATTCTCAAGCCTAGAAGTACTTATATTTACGACAAAAGAGAATAAAAGATGAATTTTCTAGTGTTATGATAAGAATTATCAACATTGACGACTGAAATATTTAACATGGAAGCTTATATATATAAAGAACGAGCTCTACAACTTATATGCCAAAAAATATTCCTAACTATTCGTATTCGTCCTAATATTAGTCACAATATTGATGAACGACATCAGATAAATGTATTTTTGGAGATTCAGTGATGAATGTTTTGAAGAATTAAGATTTTAGAGAGAAAGACACACGAAACGAGCGGGAAAACGGATTTTTACCGCGAAGAGGTGACATCTTTTGGTAAATCAAAGTCAAGATTTTTAAGCTTTGCGAAAAAATCAAAACGATAAAAACACACACAAATAAATAAAGCAAACTTACAGGGAAGAAATCTTCTTCCTCGTATTGATTTGCAGCTTCTTGTGCCCTGTCGCGAAGCTGTAAAACCACAAGGGGTAGCTGACTTGAACCTTCTCGGCCATCAATGGAGGAAGTTTCTTCTTGCGAAGAGACGGTGTTAAAGCTAAAATAAATTGGAAATGTCAGAAAATTTAGCGTAGATCGGAAAGTTTAGCACTAAAATAGAAAGATGGAGGCTTACTTTTCCATTTGATTATCATTGATCGTCATTATTCGTGTCTAGAAGTAAGCCATAACACAGCTGAAGGAAGGAAGATATTGAAAAAAAACAGCTGTTTTAAAGGAGACTTGATTTTGAGCCAAAAAACTGCAATAAAAATCTCGATCCCTCTGAGAACGATTCTTAGATCCTTCCGATCATAAACTTTAGTTTTTCACAACGATATAAGAATAAAGATCCTCAATATAACATTCTTTAGACCTTCACAATAGAACACATGATTATAAGAAGGTATACGGACCGCTTACGTCACGTTGCTATGCAACGGAGTAAACAAACACTGGTATTACGTGTGGAGAGGTGAATATTTGTGGATCTTGCGCCAGGGTGACCGATCTAAACACTATGAGCTTTAACGAGTAAAGGGTTAGAATAAGGTAACGATTCTCTACTAAGGTTTTGGTAAAAAATTTTAGGAAAAACAAGAATATTTTTTTAAAATGAAGACTATTTTTTTTAATTTTCTGTCTTTCACAGGAACATAATTTCACCTTTTCAAGAGTATCATAACATTTATATTATTAATCTATTTTCAGGAAAAGATGCATGTTTATATTAGTTATTAAGGCTTTTAAGACCCTCCTTGCCAATCAATGTTAGCCAATTAGATTTCACAACTTAATTTTTCCACTTGAAATAATGGATTGAAGCTAGGTCACCGAAAGTAAATATCAAAAAACGTGTTGCAATTTTTATAAACTTTATAACAGTGACACAAACGACAGAAAGAGATAGAATGATAATCATACTCTATAAAGTTATTTACCTGAAAGACCAAAGAACTACAGATATATTGTAGATAAATGTAGATATATTTTACTAGTAAATGTTTTAACAGCTTGATGCTATTGATGGACTCTTACAGAACTTTTTCCAGTTACAGTTTCACCTTACCGCCATTAAGCATCCTCAACTGAGCTGCAGATAATACCCAAAGCATTACTTGTTTGATATCAAACGTTTCTGCCATATCAGAATTCATAGATTTTTGATTACCAACTTTATTGAAAGAACTATATTGAATTGTGTAAAATATCAGTTCAAATATAATAATATACATAAAGTATTTTTTTCTTCAAAAAATTACCAAATAACGATAAAAATCATAGGGTATAGTCAATGCTTTATGCCCCAAAATGGCCCAAAATGACCTATTTTTCAACTTTCATAAATAATGCATATTTTTTTAAAAGGTGTGAAAATGACCCAAAATCGATCAAAACCATGGGCTATAGTCCATGCTTTTTGCCCCAAAATGACCTATTTTTCATCCTTCATAAATAATGCATATTTTTTACAAAAGGTGTGAAAATGACCCAAAATCGATTAAGACCATGGGCTATAATCCATGCTTTTTGCCCCAAAATGACCTATTTT